TTTTCTTTAATTGGAATTGAATCCAGTTTTGCCGCAAATAAGTAGCCGGTTGATAAAACATATTTCATCTGCACATCACATAAAGCATATCAAATAAAAGTATGGCTCGACTTCAGATGGAAAATAAGTTAAGACTTGAGAATGCTGTTGATGCTTCAGTCCAATTTTTATTGAACGATTTAGACTTAGGCACTTAGCACAGTAATAAGAAAAGCTTCAAAGGATTTCTACCGCTCACATTTACCAGTTCAAATACAAGAGGAGAAGTTGATGAAAAGATATCCATCAAAACAGAAGCAGCCTTACATCATAGTTACATTTTGGAGATGAAAAACTGCCATTTTAGGGACGCTGTTAACAAATAAAATGCACCTTAAATAGATAGAGCGATTCATATAGCTAATCCCGAGTAATTGGAATTGAGGTACAGTTGATGGTTAAGTGATGTTGGACAAAAAGCTGCTCTTTCAGGAAGTAATTTATGGAGGACCTATTGCCTGGAAAGAAAGGCATGGAACCAATTATTAGATGTCAATAATTGGGAAGTTCACAAGTGGTCCGGTTAATTTTAACCTATATAACAAAGAAAGCAATAAAGTAACTCATTTTAGAAAGTGGTGATTATTAAAGACCCAAGTATGACTTCTCTTTTTTTGTTTTAATTCAAAACACAAAAGGAATAGACAACTAACAACAGAACAAAAGGTTGAGTACGAGATTCACATACCGAAAGAGACAAAGATACATCTAGTGGGACCAACACATATTTGTCATCATTTGCTTCCAATTCTCTCCCCTTACTGTTAGAATCCACTGCATAGTCTCTCATCACCTCATGAGTACTTTGGAAGGTAGTACAGTAGAGTTCCAGTCCTTTTACTTCAACAAGTTTGTTGACACGCCCATCTCTCATTTTCCCACTAGATGGACAAAGGACAAGTAAGGTAAACGACACAAATGGTGCAGGTGTTGATTCTTAAAAACCAAAGAATGCTTTGCAGAAGTATTTGCAGCCAATATTTGCGGAAATAACTCTTGCACAAATGAAGCACATATTGTAAGAGGACAGCCCGGTGCACAAAGCATCTTACGTTCACACAGGGTCCGGGGAAGGGCTGCACCCTTAGGGGTATGATGTAAGCCTATTAGGGTAGACAAATGAAGCACATGTTGTGAGTTTTATGGATTGAGAAACACCTGTAACTGCCATTAGTTATACGGAGAGAAATTGTTTTTGGAAAAGGAAAAAAAAATTATCACCGCGACTTCAAAGTATAATCATAAAAATAATTTGTTTAGTTTCTAATAAGATTGACTAGTATATTAGATAATGACAAATTCTCCTTTTAGTACATGTCAAATACAGAACCGTACAGAATAGCTTCCCAACCCATTGCAATCTGGAAGCAAATTTATAAAACTACTCTAGCACACTGAAGCCTGACTCTAGATATGCGCAGACTGATAGAAACATTGACCAAATAATTGCTGGCATTGTATGAAGGGCCTAATACTCCTATAATATCATACCCGCCTTTTAAGCATTAAAGAATTCCAGTTCCAAGGAGGAACACAAAATTCTCCTTGCATTAAATAGACTATCTCATGCATGAGAAATATGAGCTTACACTGTTAAAGAAAGAACAATATATTTTTCAAGCATAGCAAATTCATCAATGTAAGTGACTGCATGAAGAGAACATGGAAAAGATACAAGACCAATTAGAGTCATACCTAACTAGCTGCCTCATAATTGTTAAACTTGACCTTTTAAGCATTAAAGAATTCCAGTTCCAAGGAGGAACACAAAATTCTCCTTGCATTAAATAGACTATCTCATGCATGAGAAATATGAGCTTACACTGTTAAAGAAAGAACAATATATTTTTCAAGCATAGCAAATTCATCAATGTAAGTGACTGCATGAAGAGAACATGGAAAAGATACAAGACCAATTAGAGTCATACCTAACTAGCTGCCTCATAATTGTTAAACTTGACCTTTTAAGCATTAAAGAATTCCAGTTCCAAGGAGGAACACAAAATTCTCCTTGCATTAAATAGACTATCTCATGCATGAGAAATATGAGCTTACACTGTTAATGAAAGAACAATATATTTTTCAAGCATAGCAAATTCATCAATGTAAGTGACTGCATGAAGAGAACATGGAAAAGATACAACACCAATTAGAGTCATACCTAACTAGCTGCCTCATAATTGTTAAACTTGACAGCTTCATACCAAAGACAGTTACTGCCTGACAAAAAAGGAAACAAGTAATTGCTTAGAACATCACATGAAGGTTAATGTACATAACAACAACAACAACAACTGTGCCTCAATCCCAAACAAGTTGGAATCGGCTATATGAATCCTCACTGACTATGTTACTCCATATAAACTCATCTCAGGCCAATATAATCCAGAAAAAAAAAATATTCATAGAAAAAAAAGTGTACTAGAACTTCATTATATTTTCTACTGACACATAAAGGCTAATATACATTTTCTTAAGGATCTCAGGAGGTTAATTTTGCTAAAATTTGCAACTTCTGACTGATCTGGTTGTTTTGATTGCCATAGTATCCTTTTTTTTTCCCCTTTCCTGACATCCAGTTTCCTTTGACTTGTATGGGTTCTTATGCAATAACGAATCGGCTTTACTCTTGTACATGTCGGTTAGACTAACCTAAAAAGCATGAAAGGTTACTTGATTTGAATCTCCATTTGTATTTTCCACACATCATTAGACATGATCTTAGATTAGATGAAACGAGCACTTCTTGTTTCATTTAATTCTTCTATGAATCATTTTTTTTTTTTGCTAAACTTCTATGAATCATTAAGCATTCAACTGTTCCAAGATATAGAAAAGATTTCAGTATATATAAATGGAGAAAAAAGGAATTCATATATTGAATGCATAAATACCGTAAAGGATATATATATATATGAATGAGCCATCACTATTATGAGAATAGTAGTAAGAGATACAAAGAGTTCCTATAATCGTGTGTTTATACCAGAGATCGGTTTTGAGCCCCTACCTGTTTATCCTACTTATAGATGAGCTAACTGAAGATCTCAAGAAGAAGAAAAGGCTTCTTGTTTTTCTGTGTATATTTACATCCCAAGAACATGCTACTTATACAAGGTTCTTATGACTAATTAAGGAAAGAGAATAAAGGCTAATTAAATCAAATCAAAACAGTCACGTTGATTCGGGAATCAATATTCCTAGAATCAAGCCTAAAAATCCTCCTACAATCAATACTCTTCCTCAAGTTTGTGCAAAGATGTCACACATCCCCAACTTGCAAATCAGTGTGTGAAGGATCGTTTGTTGAGACCTTTTGTAAGCACATCAACTAGTTGTTTCTCTTATGACACATGAAGCAAAGTCAAGAAACCCTTGTAATCATTTCTTTGATGAAGTGTCGATCAATTTCAATATGTTTCATTCTGTCATGTTCAATGTTCTAAAAGGCTTTCTTGGGACTCAAGACTAGCAAAAAGCCTCAGTGGAGCTTAGTTTTGTGATGCTTACGCCTCAAGCGCCCGACTGTGCGCCTTAAACACGCCAAACGCCCAACGCTTAAGGCTCGCCTAATAGTTCATATGCAAATCATGTGTCGAATTCTGTAATTAGTACTGTTGACCATCAAAATTCTTTAACAAATAAGTGATAAATGTTCTATTTTCATCTATAGAAGTATGAAGATTGAGAGTAACTCAAATAACGAGCCATGGTATTGCAGATTTACTAATTGAGAGTATCGTCAGAGCGAATATCATTGAACCTCTTTTAAAAATAGATAGCTGAAGTTTATATTTTCACTTGTTATTAATTTTCATGTCTTAGTCTTATATCTCTCAGGATTATCATTCTTTTATTGTTTTGCTATTTGAAAGCAATTTTGTATTTATTCATGAAGGAGTGATGTTTTAAATTATAATATTGATACAGTTTATTGATTATTTACTTTTAGGGAGGTATAATGTATAGTCTGATAACATTTTTTACGAAATTGTAGTTATTTAATTGTTCGACAATTAAGACATTATAGTTGATTTGTACCTCATAATAACTTAAACACTATTGCATTGTTTATACTAGTAAAAACATGCTAGATATTTTATTTTTTATGAGTTTCTTTAATCCTTTTTAATTTTCTTAAAAATTTAATGTGCTTTCTATAGTTTTCGTGTTAATAAGTTATTTTATTGATTTATAAATTAAAAAATTTAAAGATCTATGGGGCTTATGCCCCATGTCCCGGGGCTTACGTCTAGGATTGTGCATTTGGATCGGAGCTCAATTCAGATTTTCGGATTTCGGATATTTGGATCAGATATGGATTATGTTTTTAAAAATTTCGGATATCCGGATCGGATTCAGATTGGTATAATTTTAACCCGATCCAATCCGAAATCCGAAATTATTTTTAGGACATGTATAAATACTAAACTTTAATTTTAGGGTTAGGTATTATTTCATCGAGCCTCTCTATCTCTAAGCTCTTTTCAGAGAGACTGCTGCTCTGTTCCACCTATCTTCTCTGTGTTCCGACTATCGGCGGTGACCGGACGACACCTCTTGCTTTATCGACTCGAATAATCCTATGAATTCAGCTTGCCTAACCTTCCAGCAGAGACCTTTCGGTATGAAACGGTCTAAAGTTGTTACTGAATGAAGATCTAAGTCATGCTTGCATTTTATACATTATGAGATCACTAATTGCCTTTTATGTTGCTAAGCTGTGTGTTGAAAAATTTTGTTCTGTTGTTGATGCAGAATGGATGAAATGATGCGTGGTTAGAGGGGATGGGGGGAGATGGCTGCGTTAGGGGATAGATTAGCAATAGCCTTAATAATACGTACAATCTGATCCGACAATCCGAAATATTTATCCGATCTAAACTTTAAAATCCGATCCGATTCGATGTTAATTCGGATCGGAATCGGATTGCATTTTGTAGAATCCGAAATGTGCTAAATCCGATCCATGCACAGCCTTACTTATGCCCCGTGTCTCGGAGCTTACGCCTCGCCTCGTACTAAGTAAGATACTGTGGCTCGCGCCTCCACCTTTTAGAACACTGGTCATGCTTAACAGGATTATGAACTATACTGATTGCAGCCTTGCTATCACAATACAAGGAAAGTTTTCCTTTTTCAGACAATCTCAATTCCTCTAGTAGCTTTAGTAGCCACAGAAGTTTACAAACAAACTGGGACATAGCTCTATATTCTACCTCGGAACTTAATGTAGCAAGTACATTTTGTCTTTATTTCTCCAAATAACTAAGTTTTCCCTCTTATGAGTGTACAGTAACTAGACGTAGACCTTCTGTCATTTGTACATCCAGCACAGTCCGCATCTGTATAGGCTTCTACCTGGAAGTGACCATGTTTGGTGAAAAGGAGAATTTTTCCTAGCGGAGACTTCAGATATGCAAAATGTGAAACACAACTTGCATATGAGAATTTCAGGGATCATAGACTCACCAAACTGATTGAACAAGCTATATCTGGTCTAGTGTGGGAGAGAGAAATGAAAAGAAAGTGAAAAAGTCTGGTGGGAAGTGGCTGGAGCTAGGGGTCCTTTTTCTCGTGTTAATAAAATTGCATGTGTCCTACTTTTCTTACCCATGACAGATGTTAACCATTGGCCCTTTCATCAGTTAGAAATTAAGGCCTTTCTTCATGGCAATCATGAGGATGAGGTGTATATGGAGCATATGTCGGGCTTTGTTGCTCAGGGAAGTCTAGTAGACTTGTATGCCAACTGCGCTGATCTTTATATGGTTTAAAACAGTTAGCAAGTTTAGCACAGTTATAAAGGAGTTTGGCGTGATCCTCCGCTAAGCTGATTATTCTATTTCTTATCTATACCCAGCCTTGGACCCGTGCATCTATTTAGTGGTCTATGTTGATGATATAATTATCATTGGCAGTGACCGATAGGGTATTGATAGCTTGCAACGACATTTCTTTCAGCATTTCCACACCAAGGACCTGGGCAAGTTGTATTTCCTAGGTATTGAAGTAGCTCAATCAAGATCAAGCATTGTCATTTCACAACCGAATGTCAAGACCTACCGATACTCCAGGAGACAGAGATGACAAACGATAGACCTACCGATACTCCTATAGATCCGAATGTCAAGCTTCAGCCAGATCCAGGGGAGCCTCTCTGTGACCTTGGGAGATACAGGAAATTAGTTGAAAAGATTAGTTGGAAAACTGAATTATCTCACTTTGACAGAGTAATACAAAATCTAAAATATGAATTCCCTGTGTGTGAAAAAGGCAAAGTCTCAATTGTAAATGATCAAAATCAGATAACATTCTGCACCTAGAGTTCTCAAGCAGCTTTAAAGATCTACGATTTCATCCCCTGGAAAGAGAGAATGGCTATCGCCAGCAGTCCCACCATTTATCGATTATGACTCAGTTCCTTCAATGATTTATTTAAAAGCCTCGAAAGGCCACATTTGTTCAGGGCAAGAGTTGTAGAGATAAGAGAACTAGTATTAGTAGGCAGAATGAAATGCAAAGAAGAGATCTATAACTCTGAACTGGAATTTCGCAATGTTAAAAACATACAAAAAAGGATCAATAAACTAACATGCAAAAAGAATTCCCTAAGCAAATATAAGGTTGGAATTCACATCGCACATCTGCCTATAAAATCTAGCTAGTTCTTTGACATAAGCTGTAAATCATCTCCCTTAATTAAAGTCGACCTCACATTGAAAGCACATAAAAGGCTTCTTTCCTTGAGAAACTCATAGATGTGTCTTCCCAACTCTTTTATATCTAGTAACTCCTTTTATGGCCAAATTTATGTGCTTCATCCCAGATATTAGGTGCATTTGACAAACAAGGGACATGAAGGGCAATAAGGTGAGGGAGGAGCCCGGAGAAAAACTAGCACCGAAGGATTGCAAAAATCTGAAAGTTAAGGACCAAAAGAATAGCCCAACAAGCTCATGACTTCAAACGGAAAGCAAAATAAGTACACAAGGAAAATAAACAATCTCAAATACAATTGGGTAGAACTATACCGAAGAGGTCAGCATGTCACGATAAAGAATATGAACATTTCTGATGGACAACTGGATGTTGTCAAGGACCTGAAGAAGGAAATCAAGAAAAAGTATTAGAGGAAGAATAAAAGCCAATGGGTACACAACTAAATAGCACAACGAAGCCAAAGAAATTTGCAAAAAAGAAAGATCCCAGCGGGTCCAGTCAGCGCCTTTTAACAAATATATAATACAACCTTTGCAGTAATGTATGACGTAAATGAGTTTCCAGCCCGACTATCTGCAAAAACCAAAAGATTCTTTAAGAAGTCCACAAAAGAAGATAGAAATTAAACGTACAGACAATCAAAGTGTTAACCTTTACTATGAGAAAACCGACTAAGGTCAGTGTAGGAAATACAAGCTTAACATGAAACATTAAACCAAAAACAGCTACACTAAATATGAACATAATAGACATTCTGTAGTGAGATAAAAATAGGAAAAAGAAAGTAGCCTAAGTTTTGTCCTCCATCATCTAACCGTATAGTTAAAAAAAATCTAAGTGGCCCCTAGTCCTGAGAGGACTTACCAAGCTTGTGGTTATTTTGCTGCAGCAAAACTGAATACTACACTCAGATGCCACCATCTTTCCTTTTGATCAGTAAATTAAGCTTTTAATAACAGAAATAGCCATGTACTAAGCTAGCGCTGGACATTACAAAATGAGAGGCCCCGCTGTACAAAAACAAAAAGGAAGGGCTCCCCTATACAAAGTTATGCCTGTAATGAGCTAATAAAGACATTCATGCCGCTTACATCAAAAAGATCTTGTAAATTGCAAGAAGAAGCCAGTAATCCTAGACATCTAACCCAAGAGTATGGCCTACTGGGTAATGAAGTAGGATGACAACCATGAGGTCTCAGGTTCAAATCCCAGCGAAAACAAAAATACACCAAGTGATTTCTTCCCATCTGCCTAAACATTAGTGGGTAGAGTTATCTGGTACGTGTGCTAGAGGTAGCAGGTACCAGATGGAATAGTCAAGGTGCGCACGAGCTGGCCCCTACACCACCACCATCAAAAAAAATCCTAAACACATACACGTGAGGTTCTACATTGAGTTGCTTCTGCCTGCAAAACACCTTGAGTTTCTCTCATTCCAAAGTACCTAACAAACTCATACTGGAATTGCTTTCCAGTATTTTCTTAGTGGTTTAGAGACACTGCAACTCCTGCAGCAAACCAATACGCTTGTATTGACTAAGGCATAACCTAGTGCTATCCGAAAATTGTTGGAAAGAAAGCACCCATAACTGTCTTGCTGCACTCCAATGTAGGAACATGCGGTTATTTGTCTCCTTTTCCTAAAAACACAAGAAATACCTATTGGACATGGCCATTTCTCGATAAGTTGTTTTAGGCGAGACATGCTTCATAGGCTGCTACCGACAAAAAAACGTGCTACTTTATATGGAGCAATTGATTTCCAAATCGCCTTCTATGGTCATTGACGAATGCTATTTGCCCCATTATTTAACCACTTACAGCATGACCCAACTGAGAAAACCCCACTGCATTGTCCTTATCATGTGAGTGAGTCTGCCTTTTCTCTATCCAAATGTACATGTTCTAAAAATCATGGAGTAATTGGGCTAGCCTATTCACCTATCGGTCGAAGCATTGTCTTCTAAAGTTTAGGTTCCACACCTCCCTATTCTATACTGATTGTTTGTGACCTCTGTATCCACAACCAAACTAAAAAAATCCGGGGATTTGATCTTGAGAGAAGTGTGACCCTCCAAGCATCTTGCCAGAAGTTAGTACTTCTTTCTTCGCTCAACCGAATTACAGTGTTTGATTCAAATCTGACCAGAGGTTACTAATATGTTTCCATAATGTAAAATATGAGGAGAGTTCACAGGATTAGTATTTCAAACTTCATTTTCCCCGTACTTACAAGCTCTAACCTTTCTCCACAACCCACTCTCTTCCTTACCATACCTCCATAGCCATTTTAGCTATTTCACTAATAAGTTATTAAGGAAAGGGTGGAGGTCGAGAATTAAGGTAGAATACTAGTAGGTAGTCGAGAGTGTCTCTTTCCCATACTAGTAGTATTAGTGTTAGTCTTGTATTCTATTATTGGTAAATTTCTACTACTACATGTTGTTCCTTTCGCTTCGCTTTCTTATTCTCTTGTTGTTATTACTGCTTGTTACTACTCTTTCTTTTCATCTTTTCTTGAGTCGAGGGTCTCTCGGAAACAGCCTCTCTACTTTCTAGGTAGGGGTAAGGTCTGTGTAGACACTACCATCCCCAGACCCCACTTGTGAGATTATACTAGGTTTGTAGTTGTTGTTCACTAATAAGTTATTATTGTGATTCTTTTAAGATTCCCGATGCCAAGCCCACCTTTTCTTTTTCCAGAGTCGCAATGTCCCATTTTATAAGATGGAATGACCTTTTCTCTTTCATTCCTTCCCATAAAAAGGTCCTTCTCAGCCTATCAAGGGACTGTAGCACAGCACCTGGAATAGGAATAGAGACTTCAAGATCAAGTACACTACTGATCAATGTCACTCTCCTCCAAATGATAGATACTGTCTCTTCTAGCCTACAAGATCTCAAATCATTCAATGATGCTTTGCCAAAAAGAAACAACCTTGTATTTGCCCCTAAAGGCATTCCGAGATAATCAGCTAGTCTCTGCATATCCAGGAGGATGTTGACAAGGAACAACTAGCTCTTTCCAAAAATTTATTCACAAGCTTGATATTACCTCAAAAATTAACAGCATCACCTTTAAGTACATCAACCAGGTCTGCTCAACATCACACTATATAGGATATCGTAGCATATAAGACATGGGATACCTCCATTTCCCTTAGCGAATTTCTTCTAGAAACACTGCCCTACACAGCAAACTGCTCAACGCCTCCATCTTCTGGACAGATGTCTGGGCTGGAGAAGAAAATTGATGGAAAATTTCCCCATCTATATAGCATTACTGCTAACAAACTTTGCACAATGCCACGTGGGAGCAGGTTGGCAACCAATTTTCAGAAGAAACTTCAATGATTGGGAAGTGGAAGATATCTGTCAACTACTAAAATTCTAGAGCCTATAGCCTTGGATGAAAGTAGGGAGGATGCTCAAACTTGGATGGCCAGTAGAGATAAGAAATACTCTGTTAAAAGCTGCTATAATCTTCTTCAACAACAAGCTGGGCAGCAGGAGGAATCATGGCCATGGAAGATGCTTTGGAAGACCAAAGCACCAACAAAAGTTGCTGGATTTGGGTGGACTGCAGCCTGGAATAGACGTCTTACTCAAGATATGCTACAAAGAAGAGGATTTGCCTTATACAGTAGGTTTTTTTACTGTGAAGAAAACCAGGAGTCGGTAAATCATTTGTTTCTTCATTGCCGGCAGTCTAGACAGATCTGGGATCTATTCCTTAATATCTATGGTGTGAAATGGGTAATGTCAAACAGTGTTAGAAGTCTGCTGGAAAGTTGGCAGGGTCAATCGGTAGGCAAAAGGAAGAAAAAGATATGGATGACTATTCCCTTATCCATCATGTGGACCATCTGACTGGAAAGGAACAAAAAATGCTTTGAAGATCAGAGGACCCAGATTCCTACGCTAATAAATAGTTGCTTGCAGAATCTCTATATTTTTGGTGCAAGGAAAGGGGAGCAGAAGACTTGGTGCAGTTATTAGATTTTATGGAATTGTAGAAGCTTTATTTGTAATTTCTATCCTATGACGTTTTGCTTGTACTTTGAAAGTACCCCCTTGGTACTTTTTTGAAGTTTCTTAATAAAAGTTACCTTACCTAAAAAAAAATGGGGAAGGTGACAAAGAGTCCCCTAGTCTCAACCCTCTCTACGAAGGGAAAAATCATCTAAGGCACCATTTATTATCATTGAGAACCTCATTACGGAAATACAAAATCTTATCCATTTCACCCATTTTTCCCAAAAATTCATCTCTCGTTTAAATGCAACAAGAAGGACCAACTGACATGATCGCTAGGTTTTCTCTATGTCCAGCTTACACATGATGCCAACTTCTCCTTGCTTTCTCTACTGTTCGGGCATTTATTTGCAATGAGCACAGTGTCCATGATTTATCTTCCTTTGACAAAAGGAAGTTTCGAAATGACTTGTAGAAACTTCCACCTAGCTTAAAGGACTAAATCCTTCGGCTCCTGCCTTTTTGACATCAACAATATAAAAGAAGCGTAGAAACTCTTTACAAACTTCCCTGGCTGGTGAAAAAAAATTCACATCCTCGATCACATCATCTCTGATCACCAGCAATGCTCGTAGAAAGCCATATGGAATCTATCAGGACATAGTGCCTTAACTCCTTCAGAATCTAACCTACTCCATTTCTCAATCGAAGAGGGCCTCTCTACTCATTCCCTCTCTAGATATGAAATTCTAGGGCAGTCTATTTTAAATAGCCGTCTCCATGTTTTCATCTCCAGTAAGTTCTTGTAAATATGACAATTTTCATTTTAATAGCTTACTTGTGTCTTCACATAAAATTCCGGTAATCCTCAACTTGTCAATCATATCATATCTCATATTGGTTCACAATTTTGTGGAAAATTTTGTGTTCCGTCCACTAATTTTAACCACAAACTTCTCGACATCTTCCATTACCCACCATCATTAAACTCTTTAATTGAAATCAAAGTATGGAAATACTTATGAAAGACACTTAACAATTGCATGTCGAGTTCAAATAATCTAATTTTAGATGAGATGAAGACATTAATATTACAACTTAATCATTTACTATCTTTCTATCAAGTATATTATGCTATTTAGTCCCAAAATAAAGAAGACAATCAGTAACTTCTGTAATTGGAAGAAAAGGTAGAAATCTCCGGGAAGTGAATTCCCCGACTCTCGACCTTCTGCCACACTCTAATTTTCCTGCTTAAGCAAAGGCTTAAAAGAGGAGCAAAATGAAGATTAATCAAGCTTTCAATCAAATTGACTTCCTAATCAGTGAATAAGTAAGCTTTTCGACATTATTGTAAGTTATCATTCAAAATTCGTTGAATTCATGGTTGTTGGGCCCTACATTGATCTTGGTTTTTCATAATAAAGAAAAAAAGACAAAGGGTGTGTGATATAGACAGGTTATCCTAATGCTTAGTGGTTGCTTCCATAGCTTGAACCCATGACCTATAGGTCATACGAAGACAACTTCACAATTGCTCCAAGGCTCCCTCCGGTTTTTTCATAATATATCATCCATTTAATGGACTTTTTCATGTGAATTTCATTCATATTTGTTGATCGTTGAAATATGGTGGTGGTAAACCTAGTTTTTAAATGGAATTAATAAAAATCAAAGTTGGGGTTGAAGAATATTGCAGAATATATTTCGAGGAAAAGTTTTTTCTGCAAATTTTATATTAAATGTGACTGAATCTATGTATGATGCAAAAGCATATTTGTCCTAAGTCCTCAAATTTCAAAAGTCCACTTGGGGTATGAATGCATTTTTGAACCGCAAGTTGATTTTGCCTGTGTTTTTGAGTTAGAATTAGTTTGGGATTGTTTCTGAATGTTATACCTTTTTGAATCTAATCAACAGATTTTCCCTAATCAATTCCAAACAATGGATCTTATACTTCTTGCTAGATACGGTAAGTATTCGTTCATACTTATTGAGTGTATTACTTGTGTGCCTTTTACCTTCTTTTTTCATTGACTAATTGTATGTTACCTACCCATATTACACGCTCCGTCCGAATTTATATGGCGGTGTTTGAATGGGCAAGGGTTTAAAAAAGAAAGACTTTTGAAATTTGTGACCTAAAGAAAGGCATAGACATTTGAGTGGCTATAATTCTTATCATCAAGGGTAAAATAAAAAGTTTAAAGTTAATTTATTTCTAAAAAAAAGGAAACATGACATCCTTTTGGGGACAATGTAAGAAGGAAAGTAAAGGGCAGCCCGGTGCACTAAGCTCCCGCTATGCGAAAGGCCTGACCACAGGGTCTATTGTACGCAGCCTTACCCTACATTTCTGCAAGAGGTTGTTTCCGTGGTTCGAACCCGTGACCTCCTGGTCACATGGCAACAACTTTACCAGTTACGCCAAGGTTCCACTTCACATGGCAGAAGGAAAGTATGCCACTGAAATTGCGACAGAGGCAATAGTTTTATTGTCCTTTTGTTTTTTTTAACCTAAACTTCATTCTGGACCCAATACTTTGAACGTGCTTTGAGCATTTGAGTTGGTTCGTGGAAAAGACTAAGGAGCATCCCTTGAGTCGTAGAAGGCATGAGTGTGTGACATGTAAAAAGCCTTGATACAAAGTATACACGAGGGTTGAGTACTACAATTTATGTGATACAAGTAAAGAGAGTGCTTGTGAGGTCCTTTTATCCACTCTTTTATCCACTGATCTACTTTTTTTGTTCCAAATTGCTTTTTCCAGGTTCAAGAAAAGTAATGAGTGGAATTGTAAAATATGTCATACATAGTAGTAGATCTCTGTGGAGGAGAAAAATATATAAACTTATGACTTTAGAGTGTTTGCTGATCCTAATGAATCATACTTGAGGAGGAAAGATAGTAGAAAGTTGAGAAGTGGATCACACCATGGAAAGGTGCAAGAAAGTAATACTCCACAATCTCATTCATACTGCTTAGTGATGCCTACAATGACTGATGAAATTGGTGATTGTGATAATCTTGATGGCTACTATGATAATTATGAAGTTGTTGGTGAAGGAGCCTAAGAGAGGACATGAGATTAATGATCATGGAGATAAAATGGCCAGTAGCTCCTGCTGGTGCTACGGACCTGAGAAGCAAGGACCTGATCACTTGAATGTGGAGTCAATGAGAGCTCAAGTCTTTCGAATTGTTCTCCTCTCATTCTCTTATGTGAAAAAAAACTTATTTCAGTTAGTTGTTCGGAGATAATGAAAAGAAAGATCAATTCGTTCATATCCTTCATTTAAAAAAGTGAAAAGAAATAGATTCAAATGCCTTTCTCGTCAATGTAGAGAATTTCAATTCTTAAATCTAGATAATAAGTCGTCATGCTGACCATTTTCATCACTTCGTACATATCATACCATGAGCAATGTGGTCGAACGGTTTTAGTTATTGCATGATTGTGGAGTTTTTCCTTGTGAATAACTTACCAACAGTTAATCGAGACCTCTTCTCTTTTATGTTTATACATTCCAGTAGAATGGCACTGTCGGAATATTCTAGTCTCAAAAGTCTCTTAAGTCTCTTTGCTTCAATATACATTTCAACTAAAGTAATCAGTCAAAGTCTTTCAAGTATAAGATGCTAAAGCACTCACCACATACTCGTCTTGATAATTTTGCAAGTTCTGCAGCAGCAAGTTTGGCCTTTTTCCCAGCGAATTCTCTTCTCTCTACTTCATCCATCCTCCACTGTCATAAGCATGAGCAGAAAATTGCACCAAAACTTTCAGAAAGCAAAAAGAGAAGAGAGACAGGGAACTAAAGTTGTAACTTTTCACGTACATGCATATATATATATATATATATATATATATATATATATATATGTCAGGTTATTTTAGCAAGATGGTTAAACAAAAGAAAGTGCACCTCTAAGAAATTATCTCAACTACTTTAGTGTTGGCTGATTAAGATAGAGTGAATAATTATCAATTTATTCAAGCAATCAAAAGTAATAAAATACTCCCTCCATTTCCATTTGTGACACACTTTCCTTATTAATTCGTTTCAAAAAAAAATGACACCTTTCTATATCTGGAAACAATTTAACTTTAAATTTTTCCCTTTGCACATTTTACCCTTAATGAGAAGCTTTTATAGACACACAAATTGAAAGCCATACAAAAGCTTTTACCCTTTAAGGTTTTAACACCACAAGCTTCAAAAGTCTTCCTTCTTTCATAAACTCCATACCGAGCCAAACTAGTTCACATAAATTGAAACGGAGGGAGTATCAAGTTTATCGGCCTTCCATAAAGCATGTTCTCAGTCAAATGAGAAAAATAACAGATCTGTAAAACCGTGTAAATCTAACAACAATATATGAATATTAGCACACTAATACACATATCATCTCACTTATAAAGCTAGCCTTGTCAGAATTTTCTGAAAACTCGAGACAATTCCATGGAAATAGTTTAATGTACGCCGGCTTAGGGATAAAGAGGCCTAAGATGAAAGCACGCCATCGTTCATTAATAGCTAACAAAAACCATATCAAGAGGCTCCAACATCGTACAACTTCTCCTGATCTGGTCTAGATTTCTACCCCACCAGAACAAAGCATGCAAAATATGGACTGCAAATGAGAGTTAAATTCCTTTAAAAGGCTGTGAGATTCATTTCCATCAAAAGCACCAAAATAAGCACGTGGAAATCAGATTCCATTGTTCTTCAAGCAATTCTTGCACAAATGTGAGCTGAACTATGTATGATATTAACCAATTGGTGCCCCTCAATGCAACAAATCCCCTATCTAATCACAATGCAATGAGGTGAAAAATATATATTTCACCGATATAGCTATTGAGTAACTGAAGACGGTCAATGTCAGAACTGCAACAAACCCTGTGTTAGATCACAACACAATAAAGAGGTAATTCTCAGCAATCAGCCTCCAATCACGACAAACCAATTGACATAGACTTCTTTCCTATATTAAAGTTATCCCCCATCAGAATAGCGCCAAAAGCAGCCTCCTGAACAAATAGCCTCCATAGGAGCTTACCAATAGAATAAGTGCTATGAACTCGGAGCTCCAAGGTTTCACTTTCACAAATACTCAGCAATAATCAGCACTATCAGAACACTACAACATGATTTTATGCAGAAGGTACTGTTACAGTTTCTTTCTTTACCAACTTATCTCTTCCATTAGTTATTAACTTTGAGATACAGAAGTTGGTACAGTCTATTAACTAATTCAACTCCCAATTTTATGGACATTCTATATGAATTGATCCGTAGATCCTAATTCAAGCGGATTTGAAGAGATTGCCTGATTATTGTAGGTCATCTTCGACGCCATTGCTGGAGTGATGGGCACATGCTTCTCAGTATGGAATTAGCATGACCCGGTGAAATGTTAAATGCCCCGGACCAAGTTACTATTATTTATTTTTCGGCTTTTGCGTCAAGCTTATCAATTTATTTTAATAAATGATTGGCTACATGAATCCTGTCCCTTTTAATGCATCGGAGGGAAGGATGCAGATTTAGGGGCTTCAAAAGCTTTCAAGGTGAGAATGAAGTACTAAGGCTTTCAAGGGTTGTGTTAAGGTTTGTAGTACGTGGGATGGGCATAGAAGCTAACTAAGGTGAAGGCTATAATAAATTGGTCAATCCTTAAGAGTGTTTAAGAGGTTAGGAGCTTTCTGGGTTTAGCAAGTTTCGATAGGAGGTTTGTGAAGGGATTTAACACAACGGCTAATCATCTGATCGGGGTGATTAAGAAAGATAAGGGTTTTATATGGGAGCAAGAACAAGAAGGAGCCTTTAAGACTTTGAAACAAATGCTCAATTCGACTCCTTTGTTGCAACTTCCTTGAGAATACCTTTAAGGTTGAGTCTAATGCTTCGAGATAGGTATAGGTGAGGTTCTTATGCAAGACCAAAGACCTTTGTATGAAGAGGATAGGTGAATCTATGAAGAGGATATATGAACAATACATATCCAACTTGAGAATAAGCTTATATTAAACGAAGAGGAGGATGAGGAGGAGGAAGATGAAGAAGAAGGAAAATAGAGAATAGAGTTTGGAGAAGAAAGGGTAGTGATCTATAGGTTTATTCACCGCTTGTTGATGCGGGAGGCTATATTTGCTAAAAGTTTAAAAGAACTACAAAATGTAATGAGTGGCTTAAAAGGGGACACCTGATGAAAAAAATTATATTAATCATTACTCTACTTTCATATTAGACCAAGCCTTTAGGTCATTTATGTAGATTTGGTCTAAGGTCGTCGCACTCCTACAACCTCATAGCAAAGTATGTCGATTAGCAAGCCCCCTCCTGTCAGAAACTCAGAAAAGTATGTGGCATCAGAGGTTGTTACCCCGTGGGCAATCGAAGGGGCTGATCTTCAGGGGAACTTTTTGGTTGTTATCGAGTAAAGATTATGAATATATCTAGACAGCTTTTTAAGAAAAAATTACATAAATTTTTAATATATATATATATATATATAGATAGATAGATAGATAGATAGTATTGTCATGTTGGTTTGGTTCGTTTTATAGTTCATACTAAACCAAATTGAACCAACTACATGTCGATCTTCCGAGCCAATTTGATTCTATCTTCCGGTTCAGTTTGATTTTTTGATATTTATTGAACACTCATCAATCATCATTACTGATGTTCCTCGCGCATAGTGGGAGCTTAGTGCATCGGGCTGCCTTTTTTTTCTTTTTTACTCATCATTACTGATGTTGAATTTTCTTAAGATAAACAAAAAGATTCGGTAACAGTGAATTATGGCATAATACCTCTTTCTCGTCCCGATGAGATGCACATACTAATACATCCTCTAAACTGATTATGACAGGATCCCAGCCAAGCTTTTTCCACGGAATTTTAATACTCAACTTACCAACATGACCTACAAAAGCAAACAAATAGGATCTCATCAAGAAAAGAAAACTTGGATACACAATGTCTAAGAAAACAGCTTATAGATTTTTTATAAGTACAAAATGGCCTAAATGTTACAAAGTCATCAAGAAGCATCAAATTCAAAGGAAGCAAACAGGAAAAGTAGAAAGAAACCAAAGTCAAAGGAACAAGACTTCGAATTCTGTGAACAATAAACTTCGAATTCTGTTAAAATCTAGCTGACATCCCATTAATTCAACAAAAGCTAACCGGCATGCATTTAATGGAATCAGAATGATGACAAGAATTCCTGATTCCGATTCTTTTTGGTGTCAGGGTCTTCTCGTGTGCACCTCAACTAATTCCACCGGTTACCTGCTATCTCCCACCAGCACAAGCATCGGGTAACTCTTCCTACCAAGGCTTAAGTAGATGGAGAGAAGCCACCTAGTATTTTTTGTCTCCGTTGGGTTTTGAACCTGAGACCTCATGGTTATTCCCCGTTTTATGTCCCACTTGGTCACACCCTCGGGTGCCCTGAATCCGAAATTTAACTCAATCTAGTTTCTTTTCATTACCAGAAAAAATTAAGATTATATGTAAGCACACTAACCATATCAGCCAAAGTTAAGCTTTCCTAATGCTAGCTATATTACTTCACAAGACTTAAGTATAACTAAGTAATACCAACTAATGTCAAAAATTGGTGAGTGCAGACAAGTGAACACCTTACGGAGAGCTACATTGAATAACTGTAAAATGTTACTAAGAAGAAGCGGATAGTGCTTGATGGGGGAATATATCAGATGAGCAGGCTACAACAGTGAACAAAGTTTAAACATTTGGCAGTAATAAAAAGTCAAGAATGAAGATGATAGGATAATATAGGACAAGGTGATCAGGAAAAGCAAAAGTAACATTAATTTGCTGCCTTTGTGTGAAGAGATGGAAGGATGTCAATCACTTTATTCAACGCAAAGTGGGAATAAAAGTTTGGAATCTCATGCTGAATGTACTAACATAGACATAAAGCTACAAATAAATGAATTAAGCCAGTCTTTTTATCACTGATTATCATAACCCCAATAGAGGGAAAATATGTTGGACCCTTTGAAGTAGCAGGACTACAAGGTTCAGAACTTTTACCTTGCTTCAAAGCAAATGGCAACTGGAGATAATCGAAAGCCTCGAGAATAAGTTCCACATCTTCTAATAATACTTCTTCTGCATTGCACATATTAAAACTCACTTTCTACCACTTATAACCAAATCTACTAGAGACATGATAATGGCAAAAATAAAAGAGAAGAAAAAAAGAAATTAGTAAAAGATGCATATACTGGACGAATGACAGTCCTTCAACTAAATTTTACCACCTGACGCATTACCACTACTATATTGGTCTTTTCACTAGATTCCATTATCATCTACATAATAATCTCTTTGAATTTTCTCAAAAAAAAATTCTCCAAGACAGGTTAGCACTTTGTATTAGTATAAACAATATAAAAGAAAAAAAAATTGCGGTGAATAACAATAAGCAGACGGTAGAGTAAGGGGTTTAGTTGAGTACTTACCATTCCATAAGGTGATTTTCAGCTGCTCCTTTTGGATGTCCTTAATATATTGACCTAGATAACCCAATATCAGTTGCCTAACGAGCCCTTCAAACATCCTACAAACTCACAAATCAAAAACCGTATACTATAAAAAGAATGATCTTTTAAGCAGTGGGAGCATAAAACAATTGCCCGCGCACTGCAACCCAATTCACTATAACTGAATAGGATTTCTATGGCATGAGAAAGAAAAGCTATTATTGCACAGTAGAAAGCAATCAAAGATACTTTCGCCGGAGAAAGAATGGCGTGGAAACGGTTCCGAATGCCGAAACGGTATTTTGGGACTCAAAATTGGAAACGTTTTATGGGAGAAAGACACAAATGCCCATGCAGAGCAAAATAATAACAGTCGATGCCCCCTCTTCCCCTATTTACCGGACATGCCCCAAAGATCTTAACTCAAAGCAGCTCGCTGGCCCCCGTCCTTCAATTTACATATTACTAATTCCTATCATTTAACATATACCTTTCGTTATATTTTTGGTTCAATTATATCCTTAGCGTAATATTATTGGTTTAAATATACTCATCTTTCGTTAAGTTTATCCAAGATGGATCCAATCCTACGTGACACTCACATTTGATGAGGTGGATGCAAGAAACTAGTTGGAAAATTTTTTAAAAAAATGACTTATTTATTACGGTATACTGTTATATTATATTTTATACTATAACAGTATAGTATTATATTACTATAACCATGACTTTAGCTTGCACAATAACACCTAGTTGATTCAACAAATAGGAGTCGAAATATACTATTATGGTATATTGTATATTATTACATCATACTGTTGCAGTATATTGCATATTATTATGGTATACCATTATAGTATATTATATACCATAACAGTATATTGTTGCAGTATAGTTATATACTCCTACAGTATATTGCATACCGTAGCGATATAATGTTAGGTAACTGTGTTCTTCTTCGATTATTACAGTATATTGTATACTATAACAATATATTGTTGCACTATAGCTATATACTCCGACAATATATTGTAATAATGTAGCAGTATATTGTTGTGTAACTGTGTTCTTCTTCGATTTTCAGCTGAAAAATTCGATCTCAATCACCTCAAATCAGCTCAAATCACCTCAAGCACTCACTCCTACAATATATCGAGTGAGTGCTTGCTTGAACTCGGAATAAGAGTAGTCCGTAGGCTTATTGGTCGAGTGAATGTTTCGAACTCGAAGTAATGTATCCCGTAGGCGTAATGGTCGAGTGAATGTTTTCGAACTCGAAGAAATGTAGCCCGTAGGCTTAATGGTCGAGTGAGTGCTTGCTCGAACTCGGGATAAGAGTAGCCCGTAGGCTTATTAGTCGAGTGAATGTTTAGAACTCGAAGTAATGTAGCCCGTAGGCGTAATGGTCGAGTGAATGTTTTCGAATTCGAAGAAATGTAGCCCGTAGGCTTAATGGTCGAGTGAGTGCTTGCTCGAACTTGGGATAAGAGTAGCCCGTAGGCTTATTAGTCGAGTGAATATTTCGAACTCAGTTTTCCTTCATTTGGATTTCGGGTACTGAGGGTGACTTTCCTTAGCACTAAGTCCCCAAGTTTAAAATGACGAAGCTTGGTTCTTCGATTATAGAATCTTTCGATTCGCTGCTTTTGGGCGGTCAATTGGACGAGAGCAACTTCTCGTTTTTCATCCGATAATTCGAGGCACTAGCCTCGTTATTTGACTCTTCTGTTGTATATCGAAACCTGGCACTGGGTTCCCCGACTTCGACTGGAATCAAGGCTTCGTAGCCATATACTAAGGAGAACGGGGTTGCCCCCGTACTAGATTTTGATGTTGTTCGATATGCCCAAAGGACTTCCGGTAGGATTTCTCTCCATTTTCCTTTAGCGTCATTCAGCCTCTTCTTTAGGTTTTGAATGATAGTTTTGTTCATTGATTCGGCTTGTCCGTTCCCACCGGGGTGATACGACGTTGATAATATCCTTTTTATTTTGTGGTCTTCGAAGAATTTCGTCACTTTGCTGCCGACAAACTGTTTCCCATTGTCACACACTATTTCGGTGGGTATCCCGAATCGACATACGATATGATCCCAGATAAAGTATATAACCTCTTTCTCTCTTACTTTCATGAACCCATGTGCTTCAACCCATTTAGAGAAATAGTTAGTCATAAATAAAATGAACTTAGCTTTACCTAGGGCCGATGGCAGAGGGCCGACGATATCCACTCCCCATTTCATGAATGGCTATGGGGATAGGACTGTGTGAAGTTGCTCTCCGGGCTGATGGATCATTGGTGCAAACCTTTGACATTTGTCACATTTTCGAACAAACTCCTTTGCATCTTTGCCCATATCGATCAAATAATACCCTGCCCTGATTATTTTTCAGACTAATGAATCGGCACCGGAGTGATTTCCATAAGTGCCCTAGTGCACCTCACGTAGGATGTAATCGGTGTCTCCTGGACCTAAGCATACTGCCAATGGTCCATCGAATGTCCTTCAGTATAGCGTTCCATCTGCAGTTTTGGTTCGTAGGGCCCTCGAATTTTTAAGGTCCGATGAGAGCTTTCCATTCTTTAAGTATTCAATATACTTATTCCTCCAATCCCAGGTTAAGCTCGTAGAATTTATCTCGGCATGACCTTCTTTGATCACGGATCTCGAGAGTTGAA